TTCCTATTATTCTTTTACACAACATAAATCAAAGTGTTGGTATTTGCAATGGTACTAGATTGGTTGTCACAAAATTAGGCTCTAAGGTAATTGAAATTGAGACAATAACTAGGACTAATGTAGGGAGTTAGTTGTTCATCTCTCGAGTGAAAATGTCTCTTTCAGAATCAAAATGGCTGTTCACTCTAACACGAAGATAGTTCCCAATCAAAGTTTGTTTTACAATGACCATAAACAAGAGTCAAGGACAAACATTTGAAAATGTCAACGTATACTTGCCAAAACCGATTTTCACTCATAGCTACTTATATGTAGCTACTTCCAGAGTAGCATCACCAGAGGGATTAAAATTTTTAATTGAAAACAATGATCATGATATTCATTCGTGCACAAATAATGTTGTATACACTGAGGTGTTTGATGATGCTTTCCAAAGGTGACACACTTGATTTAATATTTAATTATTTAATATATGCATATATTACAAAATTTGTGCATTTTTATTCTAATTATATTTAATATTTAAATAATTCAAAATTTTCATTCTTTTCTTATAAGGCATAATGCAAGGTTACCAATACTTAGACATATTTCAACAATTGGAAACCAATGGAAGGTTAAAGTAAGAATCACTCGAATGTGGGATGTTTTGAATTTTAATAAGAATGGAGAAGTTATAGGTTTGGGAATGATTCTGTTGAATGAAAATGTGAGAGCTTTATTTACCTTAATTTGTATATAATATATTATTCATTTTATATATCTCTAATAAAATTATTCAATAAACATTTTTGTTTTTTTTTTTATAGGATGATCACATTCATGTAGTGGCATTCAAAAATTTAGCAGACAAGTATTGTACACTACTGATGGAAGGAAATGTTTATATAATTCAGAATTTCAAAGTTTGCAATGTGTTTGACTCCTATCGAACTGTGAAAAACGATTTGATGATCTACTTCAAACCCAATACATTTGTCAAGATTGTTAATGCTTCAAATAGTTCACTTAAGTTGTTTAAATTTGAGTTTATGGAGTTTGATGCTGTTCAATCACGTTATCGTGATAAAACATATTTGACAGGTCCATTGACTTCAATTTTATATAATTCTTTTTAATTTTACATTTTATATTAATTTGACTAATTATGCTTTAAAACTATTTGATTCTTAAAGATGTTATTGGAAAATTGAGGAAGATAAGTTCAATCGTGAATCAAGATATTCGAGGTGAAAAAGTAAATAAAAGGGTATTAAAAATAAAAAAAAATGCAAGGTATGCATTGAGAAATACTTAATTAGATAATGCATATTTGAAATTAATTATTTAACTAACTATTTTGATTTTTTTCTCGTAATGGAAACTCAATGGAAATTACTCTTTGGGGGTGGAGTTGCATATCAACTTGACGATAGTATTTTAGTAAACAATAATGAAACTATCATATTGGTTGTGACGTCCACCATTGTCAAACAATTTAGAGGTAAGTAAAAAAAATTATATTTTAATTAATTTGGTTTTAATCCCAATTATTTAAACAATGTTTCTTATATTGAATATTTAATTTAGGTAAATACAATTTATCATCTACGTCAACAACAAAGGTATACAAGAACTTGGATATACCTCAAGCTACTATAATTCTAAATATATACTTACATATTTATCAATAGTAGATATAAAGTTATGTAAAAAAATATTAAAGCACAAAAAGGATATAATACATCTTACAAAATATATATTTATAATTTTCGATGCAAAATACAATGAAATTGTTGGTGATTTTCAAGTCCAAGAGTATCTAACACCAATAAAAGAAACCATATCTTCCAAAGAAATGTTATTTGCAAATAAGAGATCGATAGCTGATATTTATCATGTCATGAATAACAATTCATGCAAGGTAAGAAATATAGACTTTAGTAATTAAATATATTTCAATTTAAATATATATTGTATTATAATTAAGAAAAATACTTTTTATTTTTATTACCAACAGAAGAAAAAGTTCTCCTGTCAAGGTACTATAATGCAAATCGACATGAGGTATAGATGGTATTATTTGTCATGTGCAGTGCATAGAAAAAATGTGTTAGAAGTTGATAGAGGTTATGCTTGCAAGGATTGTGTATATCAAACCCAACTTCCAGTTGTAAGGTATCATTAAATTCTATCATCATTATTTGTCAATTTAAACAAAATTTACTGAGATATTTTTAAATAAGTAACTTTTAAAACATAATCGTTTGGATATTTACTTTTTTTTTTCATTTTTTTCAATTAAAGGTAAGTTTGATTATTATTAATATTCCTTCATAGGTACAAGTTAATTGTCAATATATCAAACGAGCTTGGCAATGCACCATTTGTCTTTTTTTATGGAAAAGCTAATCGAATTTTAGAGTATACAGCTAAACAATTGTTTCAAATGAAAAATGTGGTTACATCAAATTCAAATTAATTTTCTAAATTTGTATGAATATTAATGTTATTTAATTAAATTTCTATAAAACTCATTCACAAAGAAGATGGAGATGCCAAAGTGAAAAAAATATTGGAAGAGTTGATAGGCCGTTCATATATTTTTAAAGTAAAACTCAATGATTACAATATTTTTCATGAAAGTTTAAGATTGACTGTTACACATGTTCATGAGATACTTTACTCAGAAAAAAGTCAATATTTGCTTGAAAAAAAATAAAAGGTAAGTAGTTTAATACATTTCATTAAAACTTTTTGCCAATAATTTTCTTAAATCATTGTTTATAATTTAATACTATTATTTAAAATTTAAAACTATTTCATTTTAGTTTTTACAATAACATAATTCCGTATTAGATGTCAACTTCAAAATAGTTGAAAGGGACAAAGATTTGAAAAGTCATATAGATGCTAAAGATTATGATATTACTGAACTCCTACAAAAAAAAATATGTACACGGGAGTAAGTTATCACGTATATTATTTAAACATTTAAAATCATTATTTCTCTTAAACAAATAAAACTTATCTTAAAATTACATAAATTTGTAAGTATACAAAAATGATAAAAGAAGTTCGAGATCATACAAATTGAATAAAGTTCATTTAAAGTGATAAGACTTTTAGTTTTTATTTTAATATTTTGTTGGCATAATTAATAATATTTTTTACAATATCTTCTGGATATTTTTTCTACCTCCAATATTATTTATCATATATCTTAAAGTTTATTAATTTGTTAATTAAAATTTTTATTTTTATTGTAATATTTATATTTTTTATATATTTTGAACATGTTAATAATTTAATAATATTAATTTATATTTTTATTTAAATTTAAATAAAATAAAAATAATTTGTGCATCGCACAGAAAACAAACTAGTTAAATATTATAATTTGAGATCAATTTTTTATTTTTAAAAATTTTTTTCTCACCACTATTTCTTATGGGACGACAATATCTATGACTTTCTTGTTTGGAGCCGTAACTAATGCTTTCAAACACTTGCTTTTACATTACTTATTGAATACTTGGAAACTTGTTGAGAATTTTGCTGGAAAATTGAATAAGAAATCTTTTTGATGTAATAGCTAACATGAGAAGAACATGGAGCTAGAAACATTGCATTTACCATGTCATGTTGTTCGATGGTGTGGGCTTAAAGCTGAAGCTTTAAATTTACATCCTTCTTTTCTTGGCATTTTGAAAAAGAAATCTTTTGGTTTGTATAAATGAATGGCAGAATTTGGAGTTTGATCTTAGGCTTTTGGTGGGAAATCTTAGTTCTTAAGGGCAGGTACTTCTGATCCTAACTTCTTGGTCCTGAAAATTAGTTTTAAATCAACATCATTGACACAGAGGGAATAGAGAATGTAGTATACATAAGGATGCTCTCATTCTAAAAGTTTGGCCACCCACTGGCCCACTGGCAACTAAGCAATGGCCACTAATCATGTTTAATTAGCTCATAAAAGCCTTATTGATTTCGATATTAACAAACCTTTGCCAAACTAAAATCTTGTTAGCATGAATGTGGTAATTATAGCCACAAGAAACATGCCTACTGAATAACCCCTCAAAAGTCAGAAACCCAAATGACTAGGCAGCCTAACTCAAACAAATTTCAGCAAATAAAAAACCACAAATTTCACATACAACAAGTCGTCTACCCTCTGTACCAGCATATTAAAAGCTTAAAATCATAATCTTCATTGTCCATGGTAACAACAGCATTGAAGTTCATTGCACCAACTTCTAAGAATCAAATATATTCGAAATAAGAAAGGTTTAATTTGCATCTTTAGCACCACAACATTGTTTATTACAATTTACAAGTATTCAGCCATGATCTTATAGCATCAGCTTGATGAGTGAAGTTCAATTTCCTGTCAAACATTCTGCCTTCCAAGACTGCAACGTTATAATAGGTGCTGATGCAATGTTTCTTTAGGAGCCATTTTGAAAGAATTATCGTAATACAAGAATAACAAATGGATTATAGTACTCGGAGGGTTCATGCCTGTTTAACAAGTGCAAAACATTCTTTCAAAAAATATAATGGCTTTTCCCACATTGAAAACATCTAAAAGAAAATGAAAAATGAAAGCCAAGGAAAGAAGATCAGAGCTACTGAGATGGCCATAGCCTATAGCATCTACTCGGTTGCAAATCTACGTATTTTCAGTGCTTTAACAGTTGGTTTAATTCAGATTATTTAGAAGTCCAAAGCTCATATCGTTTTGATGGAAGATTCAAAATTTTTCAAGAGTTCAGGAAGTTTTTATCATTATTTGTTAGAGACTGTCACTTGCTTATTTCTGATTGTTAGAATATGATTTGAAAGATTAATGAAGATATAATCAGAAGAAAAATGTTTCATATCCGATATTAGAGAAATTTTATGTATAAAATTTGTTAGCATTAAGGAGGCTATAGACCTAACTGAAACTTCAACCTTTCATATATTAAAAATGCAACCAAACTTATTTTTTAAGACAATTTTTATTTTTTAGTGTAAAATGAGATACACGGAAATTGAGAAATTGGATAGAGGAAAATGAGAAATCAAAACCGGGCGCACGGCTTGGACATTGCCACAACTCCTCAAGTTACAACAGCCACATAACTCGCGGGCTTAGAATCTTAGCCGCTAAAACCAACTCTTAAAATTAAAAAAATCCCCTTTGCCTTTGGCAACTCCTCTTTCTTTGACTACCTGTTTTTTTTTTTTTTGTTAGTCAGGGTTTGAGAACTATTCTTGAAGAAGTAAAATGTGTTCTTCATTTGCAGCAGTCTCACCTTCAGTGAGAACTAAGTTCTTAAACCCAATCTCTAACACGTTTCCTGCTCCTTTCAGAATCTATCGTCAGCCAAGTAAACTAATCTTCAACTTGTTATTCCTTTACTGTGGTTTACTTTTATTTTTGAAAACTATACTTTATCGTTCTATGTCTGCCATTCACTTGAAGGAAACAAATGCGAGATGAGCAGAAGGGGTTTTGCTTTAAAGGGAATTGTGGCGTCTGGTGTCTCAGTCATGGGCTCTTCCTTGACTAGTGAACCTGTTCAAGGTCAGTTTTTAACTATTAGCCTATTAGTTCTTGTTGTTCTATCATCTTTATCCATCCATCCTATCGTTTATTTGTTTCTCAAAACTGGAATTACTTTTGTTGTTTCCCGGAATCTGGGTAACTAACGATATTAGTAAAAGGTGAGTTGGTGACAGATTTCAAGATAGTTTGGCCCTACAAAATACTTTTACCAGAGATTTTGTGATAACTTCTGTCTTAGAGTAGGACCAAGCTATTGCTGAAGCATAACTAGGTTTTGTTCACATAGGGCAGTCTACGGATGAGACTGCAACCAAACTACATTTGCAAATATAGAATTCTTTTGGGAACAACAATTTTACTATATTTTTCACATTTCCTTTTGGTGAATTTTGGCATAACTGTTTCTGAACACTAGGTTCTTGCATTTGTGTAAATGGAACTTGTTTAAGTTGAATTTTTTTTCTATAGGAGTGGAGAGATTACCATTCAAGCCAGAGGGTTACAATTTCTGGACATGGCGTGGTCGGAAAATACATTATGTAGTACAAGGAGATGGGTTCCCAATTGTTCTTATTCACGGATTTGGTGCTTCTGCCTTCCATTGGAGGTTTGCCATCGTATGCTCGTCTTTGTTTTAGGCTGTGTCCATGTCATAATTTTAAGCATGCAGACATTTATCCTGTTTTCTCTTGGTTCCCAAAATTGCAAACTATTCTAGAGACCTGCCTCGATTCCACATGAATCGGTTGCAGATATGCTTAATTAGTAGCTCATTTGAGGATTTAACATAAATGATTTCATGGTTACTGAAAAAAAATAGAAGATATTATTCAAAATTCTTGCCTGTACTAATTCTCCTTTGGAGAGCATGGTATTGTCCCAAGAAGCTAGCATGAAAATATATATTCATTAACCCCACCCAAACTAGTTCTGGATTAGTTTTCAGTTAACTGTAACTAGTGTACCTTTTAATTTAAATTTTAATAGCAGTTTCTGGTGAAACTGAAACAATGAGAATTAGAGGCTCAAAGCTGAAAATATTCATCGCATACTTGTTAATTTTGACTATTGTTATCTTCTGATAGTATTATGATCTCAGGTTCTAAGTCATATCTGCCTTAAATGCTCTTTCTGTGTTCCAAATTGCAGGTATAACATACCTGAATTGGCTAAAAGTTACAAAGTTTATGCCATAGACTTGCTAGGATTTGGATGGAGTGAGAAAGCAATTATTGAGTATAATGCAATGATATGGGGAGATCAAGTTGTTGATTTTTTGAAGGAGATAGTAAAAGAGCCAGCAGTTTTAATTGGAAACAGGTAGGAACCAAGAATAAGCAACAGTTTTCTCTTCTCTCCATGCCTGCTGCATCTATGATCAAATGATATGATAAAATAGAAGTTTAAATACTCAGGACTTTCAGCAATCACAACAAATGAATCTTAACATGCTATTGTCTGATATTCAAGGAACAAGCTGCAATTTGGTTTTTTGCTAGTAAAAATTCCTATATGCATGATTATATTATATGCTATACACATGAGTCTGAGTTACATCTTGAAACAAAGCTCTCATGATAGTTGGTGTAGTTTCCATGCTAAGAGCCTGATCTTCTCAAGCCACAATTCCAAATTTTGAATTAGGACAAAACTTATTGCTGTGAGTTTTACTTTCAATTTTGAATTTCTGGTTTTGTACTTGCAGTTACAAAGAAGTACAATGAGTTTCTTGGGCCAGAAAATCTGGTTTCAGCTTTACCAATATTTTATATATCTTCAAACAATCTATTAAGATTTCTAATTTTTATAAGATCAATGGTAACCCACTTGACTGCAGGGTTTTGTTTCATTATAGGATAGATACCCTTAGGATATTCATCCTTCGAGTCAGGGGTTTAGAGGCTTCTCATATTGGGTGCCCTTAATGCTGTATTTGAGAACTGAGACATATGCATCCCTTGAGAACTTGCTCCCCCTAATGCATAGCCTTCAAGCATGCCCTTCTCTACAAACGCTCAACTTCAGGTCTGCACTTTTGTCCATAAATTCATTGGCTCATTTCTTTGATTCCTTAGATGCTATAAGTTGTATTCTTGTATGCTGAGATCAATTAACTCGTTAAGTAAATCATGTATGAGATTATGCTGAGCCATCACATGCTAACCTCACCAGTCACCACTGATTTTATAACCTAATCCTTTCTTCTATTCTGTACATTACAGAAAATAGTTTATTCTTTCCTTTACTATCATTCTCTTTACCCATTAGCTGGATTACATCACCGGATATAGCTCTCATCACACTATCCAACCACCCTATGTACCAAGATTCACACCTAAAATCTCAAACTTCTACAAGGAAAAAGGCTAGCAGCCATTGGCTTTATTACGGGGTCTATAAAAATGGATTGTTTATAAGGTCTGTGCTATATATCCCTGTATCCTAGAAGATGGTGGTGTACTAACAGACCTCTAATGTATTTCTAAGGTGTTGAAGTCTTGCCATTTTCACAATTCATGTAGCAATTTATTTCTCTTTTGACACAACATACAAAGTAACAGTCTGTTATTCATGGTAAATTTCAGTCTTGGAGGATTTACTGCTTTGATTGCAGCAGTGGGGTTGCCTGAACAAGTGGTTGGACTCACATTACTGAATTCTGCTGGACAATTTGGAGACACAAAGGCTAAAACCACCAAATCTGAGGAAACATTCTTGCAGAAATTTATTCTAAAGCCATTGAAGGAAATTTTCCAGCGTGTAGTTCTTGGGATTTTGTTCTGGCAATCAAAGCAACCTACTCGTATTGAATCCGTCCTAAAAAAGGTATGTTACTTACTGTCATATTTAATTAGGCTCCCTTACAAAGTTTCTGGAATTTTGAATGTTTAGATTGTTTTTATGAGCTCAAAGTCTATCATAACCATACGTGTATCCTAAGACATTGCATCAGCAATATTCTATGGTTCCCTGAAGCCATCAAGCCACCGATAATAGTGCAGATTTAGCAATGTTTCTAACTGATTTTTCATGGGATGAGAAGGAGAATGGCTTTTCTCCATCTGTCATACTTTCACAGCATTCTACTATATTGAGGTTCTTGAAGTCAAGTTGTATCTATCATGCACTATGGTGATATTGTTTGAGATTTTATGCATATGATAGTCACTATCTTTTCATTACTGCAGTTGTATATCAATACCTCCAATGTGGACGATTATCTAGTGGAATCCATAAAAATACCAGCAGATGATCCCAATGCTGGAGAAGTGTACTATAGGTATGCATGTCTATGGACTCCCTGATTCTGTCCCAAAGATAATATATGCTTCAGGATGAGGATTCAATTATGTGAATACCTATCTAGACCTTTCAAAATGAAAGTGAGTACCGTACATCTTCAACAGCTTGTTCATCAATTCAGGGATTTAAAAAATGGCGTCTGTAAAATTAGCTGCTAACTCATAGTTCTGCATCTCTCTTTCTTTATTATCTTCCTATTCTAGTCTAACCCTACGTTCATTTTATTCTAATGTTGATTCTGCTGATCATCTACAGGTTAATGACACAGTTCATGTTGAATCAATCTGAGTACACTCTGGACAGTTTCTTGAGCAAGCTAACTTGCCCACTGCTGTTACTTTGGGGTGACTTAGACCCTTGGGTGGGTCCTGCCAAGGCTAACCGAATCAAAGGATTCTACCCAAACACAACTCTTGTAAACTTACAGGCAGGGCACTGTCCACATGATGAAGTTCCAGAGCTTGTTAATAAGGCTTTGGTGGACTGGTTGTCAACTCTGGCAGCAAAAGCTTCTCTCCAAACAGTGTGAAGATGTCCAGTTTTATGACATTGTTGCTCAACATGACTATTGGTTTACTTGTAATATAACTGTAAATCCATTGGTCGAAGTAAATTCTTGAAGCCACTATATTTTTCATATATATGCAAGATAGTTGGTCATTGTTTATCACTATTGGATTCATTTTTGTTCAGTGGCAGAAACAAATTATAGCAGACCACCATAAGTTTTTCTAGTTAACAGTAAAGAGAATGGAATGCTTATTTCCGATATAATGTCAATTCAAGGTTCTCTTGAGTTTAAAAGTTGGCTAAAATATGAATATATATATATATATATATATATATATATCTGCTTTTGTCCTTTCTTCATTGGCCAGAAGTATATATAATAATTCGCATATTTATATTTGTTTATTTTGAATCAAATAAGTACAAATTATGAAAATTATTCAATCATAATTTATATCAATATGTTAAATATAAAATTAATTTTTTTAATTTTTTCTAACTTCATATACAATTTTTATTAAAATTTTAAATCTTATTATTTCGTATTTTTTTCATATCATGTTTAAAATTATCATTTTTTTTTTCATGAAGCAAGCTTTAATTTATAAGAAATACAAATTTAATTTTTCACATTTTAGCACCAGCATTAATCTAGTTTTTTTTTTTTTTTTGAAATAAAAGCATCAATCTTGTTTAAGTATAACAAAAAGATAAACATATCAAATAGCCAAGAAGAGGGCCTGAACTGTCATCGTGTAAGGACAGACTAACAACACTTCCCTTCAAACTTTTTAATTAAAGGAAAGAAATCAAAATTCTATTTGTTTGGAACATCAGAAGATACGAGCTGAGAGTCACTAGCCTCCTTTTTTTCAAACTAAATCTCAGATTACCTCTTTTATATAGTTGACATGGCTGAGAAAAGCAAAATTTTGATAATTGGAGGCACCGGGTATATGGGCAAATTCATTGTGGAGGCAAGCACCAAACTGGGGCACCCCACTTTTGTATTGGTCAGGGAAAGGACGGTTTCTGATCCTGAAAAATCAAAGCTGATAGAGAGTTTCAAGGGCTCTGGAGTAACACTACTTTATGTATGTTCTTATACTTGGAGTGATTTCAATAGTTTAATGGAGCTGAAGTCTGGAAGTTTTGGTTATTGAGTTTTATGCTCTTTCCAATTTTGGTGCTTTGACAATTACCACAGGGTGATATCTATGATCATGAGAGCTTGTTAAGGGCAATCAAGCAAGTTGATGTTGTGATCTCCACGTTAGGCACACAACAGCTAGCAGATCAAGTAGGGATAATTGAAGCCATCAAAGAAGCTGGAAATGTCAAGGCATGCTGTTTCAGTTTTTTACTTCAATACTTCATCATTTTCTCTGGATTTTCGGTTGTTCTTTTGTTGAATTGAAGAAGCAATAGAGGTTAATTGTGATAATGAAATGATGGGTTTCAGAGATTCCTTCCATCAGAGTTTGGCATGGATGCAGATCGTGTCCATGCGGTGGAGCCAGCTGCAAGCATATTCAAGATCAAGGCTAAAATTCGAAAAGCAATTGAGGCAGAAGGTATTCCATACACTTATATCTCATCCAATGCCTTTGCAGGGCATTTCTTGCCAAATTTAATGCAGGAAAATGCCACCGTTCCTCCTAGGGACAAGGTAGTCATACTAGGAGATGGAATTCCCAAAGGTATGTGCACAAGCTTTGATCTTTCTTGAATAATTCTGACTTTCTTGTGCTTTAAATTGTACTTTGATTATGAGGGAATGGCTTCAACCTGTTGATGCAACTTATATTAGATCAATTACAGGGTTGCAGCTGATAGGGCTATGGTGTTTTTTCATGTTTCAGCTATTTTTGTCCAGGAAGATGACATAGCAACTTACGCTATTAAAGCAGCTGAAGATCCAAGAACCTTGAACAAGATTCTTTATATGAGGCCCCCTTCCAATGTTTTGTCTTTCAATGAAATAGTCTCCCTATGGGAGAGGAAACTTGGCAAGACCCTTGAAAAGAGCTATGTTCCGGAGGAACAACTTCTTCAGACCATTAACGGTAAAAACTCATACCAGTTGTTATATACTTTTTAGTCCATTTCCACTTATCAGATTATATAATTCAAAGTACTGGGAACTTCAAATTTGCCATCCAAAAAAAATAGTATATAAAACAAAAAATGGAGTTGGTGGCGATTGGCGAAATTAGTTTAAAATTGAAAGCTTTAAGTCAAAGTTAACCGTCCTAAATAAGTAAAATGCTAATGGCCAAAAAGACAAGGTACAATACCAACCTATCTGTTGTCATGATCTAGCTGTATTTGACAATTTAGGTTATTGGTTTCTTTTACTAATGGATGACAAGCTGAATTATCTAATAAATTTTGCTTGCATCCGAAGCCAAAGCGATTTAGCAGTTCCATGGGGTACAAACCAGAAATATTTTACTATATTATCATTTATCAGTGCTTCATTAGCATGATGATCCAGAATTTGGATTTTGAGTGCCCATATTCTACTAATTTAAAGTGTTTAGGCTCAATCAAATAGGTTTATGCATGAGTAAACTAAGGGCATAAAGTTTGTTGGACTTGACTGATTCTTTTATGGTTCACGGACTTCAGTAAATATAAAGATGCTAGCAGTACTCCCTAATCTGTCCTGCTTGGTTTTCTGCAGAGTCACCTACCCCCTGGAATTTCATTTTGTCGTTCGGCCATCCTATGTTGGTGAAGGGAGAGGCTTCAAATTTCGAGATAGAAGCTTGTTTTGGTGTGGAGGCATCTGAGCTTTATCCTGAAGTGAAATATACTACTGTTGATGAATACCTGCATCAGTTTGTCTAAAATGTTAGCAAACAACACAGCAAATGTGTATGCTTAACAAAAATATGTGGCCATGTTTAAAATAAAAACAATTAAATGTAACCATTTTCATGGAGATGAACAGCAGTTGTAGCTTGTCCTTTTTTTTTCTTTTTTGCATGTAGGCCTTGTTTATTCCACTTACCATATGCCTACATTACTAATTTAAACATAAAACTTTTGAGCCCAATAGGTCAAGCAAACTTTCATTCCTGGAATTCTCTGTTGAATGTTGATAAAGCCAAATGTGTTATTGTTTCCAATGGTAACAAATGATTTCAGCAGTCTATAACAGATAGCTCCAACTGAAATGACATTTTCAGAGATTATTTTAACAATATAATGGGATAATTCTTTCTATTTCCCTCTGTCATCCAGAATTTTTAGTAAAAATCAGTTTGATAGCTGAATTTTAGTTTAGATTGTGGAATATACCTTCCGGTAGCACTAATATTGTCGGATTCTTCATTAGGTTTTATCTGAAACCCTAGATCGAACAAAACCATTCAGTGTCGAATGATATTTAAGCCTTGTTTGCAATCCAGATGACAATATTTCAAGAAAAATGTCATTTTGATGTTTCTGCAACACCTTGTTTTACAACTAAAGACAATCAACAATGCAGCCAAAAGTAGCTGACCTTGTTGTCCAAGTTCAAAAAGTCCAAAAAATAATGGCAGATGCTAAATTATGTTTTCTAAGAAGATTATCCAGGTTGATAGTTCAGCAAAGGAACAATTTTTCAGCAACTAAAGTCACTTTCACAATAAATGAATCAAATTTAAATGGGAAAAAAGGACAAGTAAGCAGCTATAGCTTCCAGGGAGAGAGAGAGGACATGCACTCAATAACAAGGACTTAAAAAACTTCTTTGTCCAGCACAAGCCGAGCAGGTAATGCAACTAAGAGGCAGAGAAGGACGAGACAAAAGCATCCTCGATGGAAGCTTAGAAATCACAGGAAACAAAGAGTATGGAAGTTGTGAAATTGCTGGAATAAAACCTTAACTGTCCACCCCAAAGGCCATACTCTTCACCGATGCATATGCTTTGTAACCATCGGATTCCTTAAATTTAATAAGCATAAAGCATCTTCATCCACGCTTCTTTGGATACATTTTTGCCGAATTCTTGTCCCTCCAAGATTTTTTTAACATTGTTTAAAAAGATTATAAGAAAAACAAGCTGGCTGAGAGTTTTGGTTGAGTTTCAGAAAAATGGAGAACTTGTCACGAAGCAACAAAGCTTCTCAGCCTCATTCCTCTGCTCCATTGAAGCAAAGGCGGAGTGGTTATGAGCCATCAGATACAGAGACTGAATGGCATGAAAGTCCCTGGCATGATCATAACCGGAAGATCGGGACATCCACTCTTGTATTGGCAGATAAAATTGAGTCCAATTTGCCAAGAAACATTAGCCCTTTGAAACTCGGCCGAAAACATTCTTCAAAGGTTGAATATGATAAAGGGTCTCCACCTAGAACCAGTCCTCTTCCAAGGAGACATAATAGTAGCAAGTCTCCTTACAAGACAAGGAGAGATGATGGTAGAAATATTAGCCCCTTGTCGAAGTCAAAATCCGATCGTTGGAGGCATGTATCTCCTTATAAACCTGGAAGAGAGGAGCATAAATTACATAATGAAATGGGAAATGGCGAGATTGCAGACTTAAACAGGAAGCAAGGCCGTAGAACTCCAACAAGAGATGAAGTGGGAACAATTGGGCAGCTTCTTGAGGCTGATAGAGGGAATGAAAATTCCAACTATAATCATCGATCAGAAACTGCACCACCAAGACAAAGATTTAGAGAGAAGGACCAACAGAACAATGTTGGTTATGATCAAGTGGAGCAAAGAGGGGAACGAACACTCTCTCCAATCTCAAGGAACATGATACGCAAGCAAAGAGAAGCTTCCCATGTGAAACTACAATCAGGAGATGAAATCAATGAAATGGTTGCCAATGAAAAGATTTCTAAAAGCCCTATATATAATGCTGCTATTTTTGAAAGCACAGAGTCCATTTCACCTGGTGATATCTTCTTTTCTCGTGATGCTGCAGCCTTGGCAATGGAAAAGAATGTCTTGCCAAATAATGGTAGCTTTGAAAATCATGTTCTTCCAAAGCCACCAATGTATGCCCAAAAAGATTCCACATCCCATCAACGAATGAGAGCTAATGGAAATGTTGATCCGAAAGCTCGATGGTCCAGCTTATCACGAACAACTATGACTTCTAGTTCAGCTGCTAGCAGACATAGTAGTGGTAAGCTTAGAACTGAAAGTAGTAAGATAAGTGATAATAGCGGGAGGAGTAGTAGTGTAAACTCAGGTAAGTTCACAGCCAATAGACTAAAGGGCCAAAGTGAGGCCTGGTTTGCTTGTGTGATGAGGAAAGGACCCTGCAGGACCTCAAAGAAATCACCAGAAAAGCAAGCCTTTGATGAGGCCTTTTTCATTGCGAAGGCATTTGTTGTTGAAAAACTGAGGCAATTTTGGGCTGATAAATATCAACCAACTTCTTTGAATGGATTCACCTGTCACAAACAAGAAGCTGAGCTTCTGAAGCAACTTGTAAGTCCTTTACCCTAGAGTCTTTTGTTCCTTATCTGATTTCTCATCCACTGAATATGCTGCAATCATGTTTTAATTTGTGATGCAATTCATTCCATAGACAGAAAAATTATTGTAAAGTTCTTCCCTTATGGTTTGTTGCACCTTCCAGGTATCACATGAGAGCTATCCTCATATATTGTTCAAAGGACCATCTGGTTCTGGGAAAAGAGCACTAACAATGGCTTTCCTGCGAGAAATATACGGCGACTCTAGTTGGAATGTGTGCCTCTGGCCACACAAAAAAATACTAGATTGTTTTTGACATTTTAAAATTTGTTAGATTTAGGCTGACTCTAGTCTTTTCTTTTTCCATTTTGTACAGGTATCTCATGAATTAAAACAATTCCAGGTGCAGGTATTGTATAATTTCTTTATGCGAATTTCTCAACATGTTAGAGAAATATTAAATAAAGCCTTAAAGTTCATACTCTGACTTCAAATTCTATGACCATTAGATATCTAAATGTGTCCTGTTCTTGAAAGCTATATATATCTAATTAGAATTTGAAATTTCTGACCAATTAAATGTGTAATTTTAGTAGAACATATGAATGAAATCTAACGTTTCACAGATTTAGATTTTTTTGTTTTAAAAAAAAAAGACGCCGCAGCCTGGTAATAGAGGAAAGGGTTGCGGATACCTAAAACCAATTAAACTAAGCTCCAGCTTCACAGATTTAGAGTTTGACATCTAGTGATTTGAATCTGGACAGGAGAAAAGGCCAATGCAAGTTATTGTTCCACTTGCTTCCAGTACTCATCATGTGGAGCTTAATGTAAACTTGGAAACAAATGCTAGATATGCATTAATGGGATTAGTCAAAGAAATAAGCACCAATTATACAATTACCCCTGAAACCAGTACTGCTAATCTCAAGGCAGATTACAAAGGTTTAATTCTTTTTTTTTTCTTTAATATGTACAAGCAAACTTCCTCTTGAACAGTTTAAAGCAATCAACTTAAAGCTAATAAGGTTCTGTGTTTATTTCAGTTATAGTTCTTTATAATGTTGACAAGGCACCAGAGAGTATGCATCACTTGATAAAATGGATTATGGACTGTTATTCAGATTCGTGTAAATTCATACTCTGCTGTGAAGATGGCAAAGACATCCTAGAATCAGTAAAGAATCGCTGCAAAGTTATAAAAGTAGATGCCCCAGGAACTCATGAAGTAAGCATTCCTATAATTTTTGCAGTGTAACTCATTTCTTTTCACAGTTGAATGTATATGGAAATCGTATTATGTCAACATATCTTGATTGCTTTCATTTTGCACAATGACTTGCTTACTGTTACCCTTTCCAAGCTCCTCAAGGTGGAACCTGCGGCCTCTATTTTCGCCATTTTGAGGTTTAGTGCTTGTATTGTAGTAACATTATAATTCAATCCTTGATGGCTAGGGATGAATGCAAAGTGACTTCCCTTTCTTGATTTTCATGCAAAAAGATGGGACCAATACCAGTCATGGAGAGATGTCATGAATAAACTATTTGTAATAATGAATCTTTTGGCCAATTGGGGCATAAAAAATGTTGTGTAGGATTGACCAGATAACTTGCTTGCCAAGTGCTTACATGTAATCATGTTACCGACTGTTACTTTGCAGATCATGGAGGTACTTATTCAGATTGCAAGGAAGGAGGAGTTTGATCTCTCCATGAACTTCGCTGCTAAAATTGCTGCCAAATCAAAGCAAAACCTGAGAAAAGCAATCATGGCTCTTGAAGCCTGCAAAGCACACAAGTAAGAACTTGAAGCAAATCTCCCTAAATTTCCAATAAATTTATAGAACCCATTTCCCCACCCACCCCATAAAAAGACCGCAAACCATATTTGTTCTTAAGATGTGATGCTCTGCCAATGCAGCTATCCTTTTGCTGATGATCAACCAATTCCACTTGGATGGGAAGAGGTCTTGATAGAGCTTACATCAGAAATTCTGGCCGATCCATCACATAATAAGTAAGTTTTTTAGCTTTTCCTTCTTTCGTTTTTTTTTCCCCTTCTTTCTTTCCACCTCAAGAATGAAGACGGAAAGAAATATGGTCCTTCAAACTATACAAACCTCGAAATGTTCTCTTGCTTATATGGAAAAACAGAAGTGACATTCCGCATATATGATTTTGTCAGATTATACATAATACGGGGAAAGATTCAAAAGCTTCTTGCGGGTTTTGTTCATCCTAAACTGATCCTTCTGGTGATGAATTTGAAACCTTAGAATTATTCAATCATAAATTTACCAACAATCCCGTTTTTCTGATATAGTTGTTTTCCCAACCTGCAGAAGCTGGTAGAACAATTTCTTAAGCAAGTTGAAGCTGGTTTAAAAAGGGAACTTTGTTATTGGCATGCTTATTATGTAAGTTCTGTCCTGCCCTTGTTACTTTTTCTGCAGGCAGTCAAAAGTAACTCGAGTTTATTGTTACAGGACAAGAGGCTCCCAACGGGAACAAGTGCCCTGTTGAAATTAGAAGGTAATATGAAAATGCCGAGGTTCAAACTTTGTCATTTCTTACGATGCTTCTACATTGGTCTTAAATTTTGAGAAAAATACTCAGTTTCCGCCTTTTTTTTCTTTTTCAGAGTTCGTGGCCAAGTTTATAGGCATATATTCGAAGAGTTCCTATAATGTGTAATACTTCTGCTGAACTATACTTTTGTTCAAATCATTTTGTTGCAGTAGATACTGGCTTTTTCAGAATAGGAATTTCTGTTGCAAAGATTGGTCATAATCCTGCTGGTATTGTTGTAGAAATATGTTATCAAAAATGGATTGGACAAGAACAATGGAGCTCAATTGTCAGACAGAAGCATATTAGACTTGTATCAATGAATGAAATGCTGTTCCAATTTTGGATCTACTTCAAGGGCGTTTTGGTGAAAATATTTCATGATAGTTTGATAGTTTGAGGGAAGGTTTTTGGAAGTTAAAACCTCATCAAGTCATCCTTAAAACATTAGTGTGACTATAAGTCACAATTAGATTGAACCTAGGTCCCCAAACTCAAACTTTGGGCATATGCTACATTTCGACCAAATGCTGAGTAATCTGGTTCCTTCAAGATTGTGCCACAACTGGAAAAAAAACTGTCCAACACCCAATCCACTACAATGTTAGAGAGAAAAGCATGGATGGAAGAATAGAAAGAAAAAAAAAATGTCCCAAGATATATGTATTTGGGCTATATTTTTCACCCAGTATGACCACACAATAAGAAAATAGCATCCCCAGTGCAGATAAAAGTAGTTAACTAAATACATGAGAACCCATAGTAAAACCTTCATGTTGGCTATACATTTTGCCTAGTGTTACCATATAACAAGAAAATATCATCAGTCAGGATAGGTAACAGTGTTCAACTACATACATGAGAACCCCAGAATAAAACTTAACAGTCTATCCAAAAAGCTTCTAATCTTTAATATCTGCTTGTTCTATGTTGATTCCAGAATAATTAAAAGCAGGAAAACAAGCTTATCATCCAAATTTCACTTTTCACAATCACTTTTCAGTCTCTTCGTGTACCACTACTACTTGCAGACTTCTTATCAGCATACCTCTGTCAAAAGGAAAAGATATTACATCATAAGTTCCAAGACGAAAGGAATAAATCTCCCTTATTGCAGGATCCACAAAAACAATTGAAAAACTGAAAGTAAAGAAACTTATTTAGGTCATTCAACTAATACCTGTTTTCCAATATCGAAGGGGATATATTTGTATTTGATCATGAGAAGAATTTGCCGTTTCATTGTGAGGAAAAATAGAAAAATCCAGTAGCACAACAATATTGGCCAGAAAACAGGTACATCCAACATGGAGAAGAAAGTCAATACAAATGCCACAAGAAAAGCCTTTGTGATAGCATACCTGAAACCATGAATGAAAATCTAGTGAAAATATGCTTCAAAATAGTGTATAACGAAAAAGTACAGAACTCAACAACTTAAAAACTTACGATAAATGGCATAAGTTAAAATCAGGCTACAAGTTCATAAGAACACGCATCAAATCAAACCAACCAAGAGAAACAACATCAAAAACCCTTTAAGCATATGCAGTAAGCTAGCTCAAACAGTATGAAAAGACTTGTCTTAAGCTAAAGTTTTACACACAATTATAACAGAAAGCTATTAGATGTCGGATCAAAACATATCCAGTTCCGACAATCAACCACCGATAATCTCACTTCTAAAAAAAGCTCTTGGAAAACCATAGCTACCAATATCTTCATGTTTATACAAAACAGCTAAGTTCACCATAAAAGCTTGTTCTAAGTGATATGGGAAAGTTGCCCCAACTAACAACCGAATAGGCTGACATGTAACATTGCAAATTTAATAAGACATTGCATCTGATTTGCTAAGCCTTCAGCTGGCACGGTAAGAAATTCCATGCAATAATAATTTCTCCTCTAAAAAAGATTAAAACGGAAATTTTCCAATATAATCTTAATTGGGGTAAATGAAAGGAAACTATTAACATGTAACAAATAGCAAAATCAGAAATTACCAGAACTTGAATTCAGGTAAGCGACGAATAAAAGGCTTGAATTCATCAGAACCTTTAGTTGGCAATGAAGCCACATCCAAAGCTTCAAGCTCAGGGTCAACTTTGGGAGATAAAAATCCAATCAATAGATTCAATATGTAAATCCCCAAACCGTATGAAATTACATAAAACCCTTGAACGTAGTAAACCCGTAAAGCGTACATCATCCCCACCACCAATGTTCCTAGCCATCTTTGTTTCGTATGCGGCGTTGACCTATCGAGAAAATATTGAAATATCCTCGAAAATTCACTGTTCCATTTCGCTATTGGCGTCGCACCTCCATCACTTTCCGATCCCTCCATAACAAAAAAAAAAAAAAAAAGTTAGTAATTGGCCGAAAAAGTTTGAGGGATGGGGCAGTAAGGATTTCCAGTTAAAATCAGGTAAAGAAGAAGGTTAATTTAAGGTTTTGGCTTTTCAGCAAAGTTTCATTGATTCTCTGGTTCTCAATTTTCTTTCTTTTTTTTTTTTTTTTTTTTTTTTTTTGCAGAGAAGTGAAATAAGTGCGCAAAAAGAAAATTATTTTCTATATGGATAAGGCGATGAGCTACGTGGCTGTCAAAGTGGAAGCCAAGGAGAGGAAATTGCTGTGGTTTGTGGGCCTTGAGGGCCTCCAAGCCCGTTTCTTCGTTCGTTTCAAATATAAAATAATAATACAATATGAATACAATAAAAAAATATAAAAATAATATAATTTAAAATTTAAATAATAATTATATATGAGTTTAATAAAATTAAAAAAATATTTTTTATATTTTCACATCAATATAAATTATAATACATAATTTTCACATAAAATATAATAAAAATATATAAATTTTAATATTTTATACAACACAAAATCAATATACGGATCTTAAAGTTTTTATTTAGGAAACAAATTTTCTTAGGTATTAATTATTTAAAAAATATATTCTTAATTAGTAAACGATTGAATTAAAACAGATTTTTTTTGCCAGTTAATTAAAACTAACAATTGAAACTATTAAATTGATAAATTTTGTTAAATTTATACATAACAAAAAAAGAAATAACTCAAAAATATTTATCAAAATGAAAATTTGATCTAATTTGGTGTTGTGTTTTGGCAAAAGGGTAAAAAGGTCTTTGAATACATATTTAATAATCTTTTAAATTTTTATAGTCTTATTATAATCAATTAAGCTCTCAAATATCTATTTTCATCAATTAAATTCTTACTAGATGAAGATTAGTTAACTATCAACACTAATTTTCATTTAATAAATGGTTCAATTGGGATAAAAATAAATGTTTAAGAAGGTGTTTGATTTGTAGATTTTTAAATTTTGAGAGAAAAAGTGATTTTGAAAGAAAGTGATATTAAAGAGAATGTGTGATTTTTTAGTTTTATTCACATAAAAAATGTTTGTATTAGGTTTAGAGAAATTTAAGATTATCTAATAAAATCTTTTACTATATTGTCTTTGATTACACGTGAATAATACGATACATTCATAACACATTATACGGGAATCAAACATTATTTTAGTTGAAATGAAAGAATTTTTGAAAATTTTTTTTTTCATAATTTCAACAAAAATAATTTTACAATCCTAATTACTATCCTTATGTTAATTGTCTCTATACAAAGAAAATACGCAGATTAATCTTCACAATAAGGTCTACGTACAGGGTTGGAAAGGGGTGATAAATCCCTTCCTAGTGGTATTCCCCTAAAACAAATTTTATAAATAATAATATTAAGTAAATGCATTTTAGATTTTATATATAATAATATTAAAAACATTTTTTTATTTAAACTTTTGTTATAAGTAATAATATCTATTACGAATTTTGTCTTAAAAATGAATTTTTTTAAAATTTTTGAATTTTGATAAAAAGGTTTTAATATCCAATGTATTTTTTATTTTAAAAACACGATCTTTATTAAATTTTCAAATTTTTAAAAATAAAGTTTCAACATCCACTATATTTTTATCTTTAAAATGAAAATTTTGTTAAAAATTTTAAAATTTTAAAAAGAAAATTTCAATATTCATTACGTTTTTTATCTTAAAAACACAAATTTTGTTAAATTCCATAATTTTGAAAATAAAGTTTCAACATCAACTATGTTTTTTATCTTAAAAATGCATTCTTTGTTAAAATTTTAAAATTTTGAAAATGAAATTTCAACATCCACTACTTTTTTTTTAATCTAAAAACACTGTCTATATTCAAATTTCATAATTTCAAAAATAATGTTTCAAAATCTATTTTTTTTAAAATGCAATTTTTGTTAAAATTCAAGAATTTCGAAAATAAAGTTTCAACATCCCCTATATTTCTTATCTTAAAAACTTGGTTTTTGTTAAATTTTAAATTTTTGAAAATAAACTTTCAATATCCACTACATTCTTATTTTAAAAATGAGATCTTTGTTAAAATTTCATAATTTTAAAAATAAAGTTTCAACATACATTAGTTTCAATTGAATTAATTTTATATTTTTTTTAAAAAAATTTAAACATAGTTATTATCAAGTGTCAAAGGATTAGACTTGAAATATTATGTGTGTATCAATTTGGATATCGATTTATTATTATAATTTTTTTATATTGAATGATAAAATAAATCATAAAAACAATTTATCCATGACAAATTTGAGATAAATTTTACATCCCATCAAGAATTTTTAAAAACCTCAGGGATAACGTTACAAGAACCAAATATAGTAATCACATTACAAAAAAGTAAAATTCTTGGGAGGAATATTAATTTCTTAAGCCAAACATCCCCTAAAGGTTCAATTAAATGCAACAAATATTAGAGTTTTAAATAAATATTAATTTTTATTGACTCTTTTACCTATTTATTTATACAGTCAATTTTTAGTATTAGTTTTAAAGATCCAAACTGACTGAAGAAAAAGACTTTTTTACCTTTTTAAATTTTTTACTTTTTTAATAATTTTATTTTATCAAATTGATAAAACTGAAAAGAAATAACTTTAGCCACTTTCTGTCAGTCTTCAACATTTCGAGACATTTCTTCAATCTTCACACCCCTCACCATTATCCCTTTCACCCAACCACACTTCGACTCTCCATCAGACACCAGTGAACCTCTCATCAGTTGACTTTGAGACTCTCAAGCTCAAACTTTCCTCACAGTTTGCCTTTTGGTCTTTCCAATGCTTCGCTTCACACTCCGCCTGTCTCTGGTTCACCCCATATTTGTAAGTTCGGCACGACTATCAATAACACCATTGCTCCACCAGACCTCAAGTCTAAAAATTTATCAAAAGTCTGTTGGTTTTGCCCTTTGTATTTTCTATGAACAATAAAACAAGAAATGAGTTTTATTTCCTTCATTTACTTGTTAATGATGGTGATATTTAAGTTAAAGACTCTGTGGTCCAAATGAGTTGAATTCAATGCGTAACTCCTTTGTACATGGACGGTGGCCAATCACAAAAATAAGTCTAAGAAACTAAAGAAAAAGTGTGGGATTCTATTTGTTTTATTGAGATTTTTTTTATTATTATTATTATAATTTTTTTGAGTTATTTGTTTGCATAATGAGTAGGTGATGCATGTCTAGTCACGCAAATGTAACTATATGCTATAGGTCTATAGGTCCAGCTATGGCTGTCATATGGTTTTCAAAATTAAATGTGTTTTTAAGTTAGTTTGATCAGAATTGACAAAAAAACAAAAAAATTGAAAAAAAAAAAGAGACTAAGCGATTGATTTTTTTTATATATAAATTAAGTAGATTTAGTTGATTTTTTACTTTTACAATAGAATCCCTTAACCAATAAAATTGAAACTTCATAAATTGTCTTTAGATAATATATGAATAGACTTATTATAAATTGAGATTAAACATGAGTTTTGAAATTCAGATGCAATCAAATTTAAAATTTAATTTATTAATAATTTTTATTATTTATTTAATTTTAAATTTAAATTATATTTTAAAATAATAAAAATTTTCATATAATTATATATTAAAAAATTGATATATATTGAATCTAATGAATAAAGGTGGGTCAAACCCTAAGTTAAATTTAAATGATCAATTGGATCTGTTTTAACCCATGGATAGATTTACAAATAAATAATCAGAACAAAATAAAATAAATAAATGAAACCAAAGTTTCAAGTAAGTAATTGGAGATGAAACCAAGGCTTTCTAGTTTCTTTTCTCAGCTTGTTCTCATTGTGAATGGATAGAGATTGATTTTTTTTAAATTACAAATGTCCACCTTAATCATAAGTAATCAATGTATTTAAGCTAAAAGTATTCACTACCACACTTGAAATAGATGATACATTTTATGCATGCAACCAAAAACAAAAAGATAAAAAGTAATATGATAATAGTGGACATCTAAAATCTTGAGAAAGAAACTCAATTATTGAGATGCGTACGACTTATACAAACTTGCACCAAAAATGAATTAAATATATAGTTGGCCCGCAAACTTTCAAATTTTGATTACAGTAATACCTAAAGAATTTTTTTTGTCAGATTGATACCTAAATTTTAATTTCATAACTCAATTTACTCCAAAATTTAACTCCGTTATAAAAAAAAAAACTAATGTATTTTAAATGGTCATTCAAATAACATCCCTTGTCAACAAAAAGGTCCATGTCTTCAACCTGGATTTTTTTCACATCATTCAAAATCCACATAAGATATAGGTCATAAAACCCAAAAAAAATTAACACTTATTTTTTAATCGATATAATAAAGAATTTCAAAAATCTGTTTTTTTTTTTTAAAAAAAGTTCAATTGATTGGGGGTTTTGTGTGATTGGAGTGTGGTATTTAGGACAATCGATTTAGAAAGTACAATCAATTAGGGGTTTTGTGTTTACGGCAATCGACTAGTCTTTGAAATTGGGGGTTTAGGACAATCGATTTAGAAAGTGCAATTGATAAGGGGTTTTGTGTTTAAAGCAATTGATAGGCCTTTGAAATTGGGGTTTTATATTAGTGACAATGTAGGTTAAAGGTTTGAAAGTAGGAACATTAGAATAGACTTATAAAATGAGAAATTGATTTAGAAGTTGAGACATTTGGTTGTAAATTTCAAAAGAGGCAGATTTCAATATCAACCCAAACTCAAAACCCAATTTAGTGTCCAATATTGTTACATACCTTTTTTTATTTGGGCAACCATAAAATTTCTTTCCTCTATGTCATGGAGTGGTGGTGTAAATTGGAGCATTAAATAGACAATGACAAAACAAATTTCTTTAATGATTTATTGATTTTGAACTTGAGGTAGATCTACTCTTTGCCATTTGAAAAGGATCAAAGAAAGAAACAGAAAGATTGAAATAGCTTCGCTAAATACCTAAAAGAAGTCACACAATTTCAAACCCTAAATACTCACATTATATGTTGACTATTTCTTCTTTCTTCTTTTAAAACTTTTAGAGAAGCTAGCTTCTTCAAAAAAATTTTATCTCAATTAAAAAATAAATTTTTTTTTGTTTTCATTT